CAATATCTATTTAGATTAAACAATATGTCTAAATTTGTCTATTGTCTAAATTTGTTTATTGACTATTTGTCTAATCACTACATATTAAGCTTATATTATATAAATATTATAATTGCTATTATATAGCAGAAGTAATAGATTTAATTTGCATATAGATATTAGTAATAAAATTTTGATTTATCTATAAAAGTAATTGTACTAAATGAGCAAAAAAAAAAAATAAAAAGTCATACTAGTAGAAAATCTCAATATCTTTTTACTTCTCATATTAAGGTTATTCGAGTTTTAAACTCAAAAACAGTATTTGCAATTTGTAAATGGTGTAAACAAAACATGATAAAGCATATACTATAGAAAATACTTAGTATATTAACAAAAAAGAAAGACTTAGATCACATTTTCAAGATTGTATAAACTTTAAAGCAGCTATTACCAAAAACGAATATGAAAAATTAATGCAAATAACTAAACCAAAAAAAAATTAGCTTCTAAATTAGCAGTATCAAATAATTTATCTTCTGCTTCTAAATCTGATTTACAAAATAATATTTATTTTTAAATACAGTAATATAATTTGTAATTTTTAAAATAATTAATTTTTTTAAAATTATAGATACAAAACAACAATCAATGTGATTATTTTTTGTACAAGAATATAGCTTAGTTGATAAATCTTATTATGAAAAATTAGTTTTAAGTACAACAATCGAAAATGGATAGGCATTTAATTGGATAGAAAAAAAATTTTCAATTGCTATGCTTAAATATAAAAATCCAAACCTTGTAATACCAAGTTGGCATATTCTTGGAGGTCATGTGTTAAAAAATGCTATACAAAAACTTCATTTAGAATTAGCATCAAAAGCAATTAATAATAAGATTGAAGTATCGCTAGCATTTGATGGTTAAAAAAATATTTTGAAGCAAAATATTTTTAAAACAGTACTTATCACGTTTTCTGGAGAAGTATTAGTTTAGAATGTTTAAGATGTTAGTATAGAGCTTGAGCAAACTATTAATGTAATGTTCAAGATTGAAAAATTACTTGAAGATTTAAAAAAATCAACAAATTAAAGTTGCTGCAATAATTTCTGATTCTGTATCCACTTATACAGCTGCAAGGTATTATATATATTATTATTGTATTAATTATAAATTAATAACTAATAATATATATTTTAGATGTTGTATATGTAGATCTTATCATGAGATTATTTTCCTCTCTTGCTTTGCTTATCAACTTAATTTGGTTGTGGGAGAAATTTTTAAAGAAAATGCTCGATTCAACAATGCAGTTAAAAAAGTTATTAAAATTACAAATTATTTTAATAACCCCAATAACTCTTATTTTATTGGTAAATTAAGAGATAAACAAAGAATAGCATACAAACAATATATAGCATTAGTTTGTCCAGATGAAACTTGTTGGAATAGCCATTATGAAGCACTTGGTAGCCTTTTACGTTCAAAAGCATCATTAATTGTAAGAAATAAAATATAATATTTATATGATATTAATTATGCAATAATTAATAATATTATCGTATAATCTAATATCATTATTATTGTGCAATTATGATTAGACAAATAGTCAATAAACAAATTTAGACAATAGACAAATTTAGACATATTGTTTAATCTAAATAGATATTG